TCTACCTGGCTGAGATCCACGTTCGCGATTCCAAGAGGCGAAACGAAAAATTGAAAAGTCTTGTCGAAACAAGAAGACAAGATCGCGACGTGGCAAGAGCCACAACTTCCGTTTCCTGTTCGTGCGTTCAATGGACACGCAGAAGCTGGATACCCAGCTTCCGTATCGCGTCGCTGCGAACGTTTAGTTTATTTGATAACGAGCTACGAACAAGCTTCTCTACACGATACGGAAAAAAGAAAAGTTGAAAGATAAGGTTTTCCAATAATGGCAATTAATTCTCCAATAATTGGGGATTCTCGTCCTTCAGATCATCATCCCTGAAAATCATCGGCGATCATCCTGTCAAAGATAGCTCCCCTCCCTTTAAAGGGGGAAGGTGGAGGGGGATGACGACACTCTGTTTCTCAAGCAACAAAAGCACACCCTCCATGCGAGAAGATACCTAGGAATCGTGTTGATTCTTAGATCACGACAGTGGATCACGCGATTTATTTCCAATAATAATATTAATAATAATATAATAATAATAATAATAATAGTAATAATAGTAGTAATAGTAGTAATGATAATAATAATAATAATATTAATATTAATATTAATAATAATAATATAATATTAATAATAATAATAATAATTAATGCACTGCCGACGAATTGTGGCGAACACACACATATATATACATACACACATACACATACATACACACACACGCATACACACACATTCACACGTGGGTGTCGTGAACTTCTTGAGGAGAACTTTTTAAGGATTATCGCATCGAGATGAAGATGGAAAAGAAGCGAAAGAAGATGGGGATTGTGTTCGAATCGTCCAGAGAGAGGATCGTCTTTTTTTTTCTTTTTTTTTGGTGTAGATAAAAGAAAAATAATAATAATAATAATAATAATAACAATAATAGACGATTTAGTTTAATTTTGTAAGCGCTTCCGTGCGAGATCTCGCTTTGATTTTTCTTTCTCTTTAGACTTGAATAATAACAAGGCTCGAAACCACGGCCTCTCGAATTAGAATGCCAATTCTATTTTCGGAATTGCGTTTGAACCGCTTAGTTACACAGTTTCTTTTCTTCGCGTGTAAACCCATTGTCCACGTATCGATTGTGATCGTGATCGCCTTTGAAAAAAAAAAAAAAAA